TGTTAATTTATAATCGACATGCCATTATATAATTATTACGTAACGTATCCACTCGATGAGTATTATTTCATTATTGCAAATCACACATATATATAAATTAGTGTAAAGCCATGATGAAAATCTAAGTGAAAAGAAATTTCTTTGCTTGATTCGTTCCTTCTTTTATCATTAATTGTTCCGTTCCAATGATTTCATGACAATAATGCTATGAATCGAGTGCTATAACGTAAAAAATTATACATATGTACATTTTTGTAAGGAATGCGGAAGTTGTATTATCAGAATAGTGCAATAACACTGGTGAATCATATTATTTGAATAGACTAGTTCAAATGAATTACTAAAAATATGTTATCGTTACAATTCATACTATTTGCTATCAATTGTACCGATAGATTCTGGGTTCGAATCTCACAAGGCAGAATCGTGTATGAACACTACTGAAGAGTTCCACAATAGGACGAAACGGCTGTCGAGTTCTTCCAGGTTTTCGATGGTGACCTAGCTTTAATTGACTCATGATCTCAACTATTTAAATTACTTCTATATTAGTTTGAAACATACCAGGTAATAACTTCGAAGTTATGTAAATAGGTAAACCAACAGTAAAAATTGTGTGTGTATATATTCCTTAAAAACATTTAAAAGTTTTATTAGTAGTCATGTGCATAAATATACAGTAATAAGAAATCATATTAAAAAAAGAACTGATTCATTACTTTTGTACGTATAATTAAATCTAAGTGTTAGTACTTTATTTTTAAATTCTTAATTTCTTTGTACTTACACATATAGTGTGTAAATAGCAAAACAAATATTTTGTGCAACTATTTCATGAAGTTGTTCTGATAAAAAAACACGTAAGCAAATGAACCCAGCTATTAACTGAATGAAACAAAGGATGTAATAAGGTTATAGTATTTCACACAATTTCTTTTTCCTATACACTTCCTTTAAACTTTCATGAATGAATCTCAGTCAATCAGCTACAACGTAGGGCCAGGTACATATATACATCGGTCCAAGTTTCCATAAATGAATCTGCCCATCATATAACATAATCAAAATAAATAGTATGATTATTAGCCGTAAAAATGCAATAACATCTCATCAGATAATGATAGAATGACATGAACTACAGTAAGCTGATGATCGAATGAAGTATATGTATGTATAAACAAACTGTTAAAGAACAACTGTAAATGGTTATGTTATACTTACTTGGAAACGATCAGAATCAAAAATGCATTACTTGAAAGATAAGAATCTATGAATGAAAATTAGTTTAATTTGAAAACAGACATAATGTGAAATAAATATTGAAAAAAATAGATTAAAGGATAATTGCGTTCCTTAACACATCACAGTTATGAATAAAGACAGAAAAGTATAATGACTCCTAGCTTCGTAACGACTGCCTTAATATTTAAACTACAACTTAAATCTTATACCTTATAATAATCATAGTGATTATTAATTTGTACCAACCCTTTCAATTTTATCATAAACGGTTACCATAATCCGAAATCGCTGAGTATTTCAATTTGATGGAAACATTGAGAAAATTCAAATCACGTAAACTGACCAATCAAATTAATACTATTGGTAAGATTTGAAATTTTCTAAAAGAAAATATATGGAAATGACAGTTGTAAAAACAAAAATTGATTTTTGTTTTGTTTTTTTAATTTAGATGTGTAAAAATTTCCAGTTTAAATAATCCTTTTTTCTTCTTTAGGTGCATCCTTTTCACCATGTCAACAATAAAAATGAATATTTATTTTTATTTTAACATATTAATATTGGTACAAGGAGGCACCAAATACACATGCGCCACACAGATCTCATTTGATATGTGTGAGGGCTGTGATACTGTCTGGGTGCCCAAACCGAACCAGGTGATTTTCACAGGGGGCCACTCCCCGAGCCTTCGAGCTGAAGGTCTCATCCACAAGGCAGTAGAGCATCGTAAGGAGATGCAGTCCCATGGTAGCTGGTGACCAACGATTGGTTCATACGCCATTTGTTCCCGCAGGATACTGGAGCCCATGTGCACCACTGATTTGGGATCCGGTTAAAGCACCGGACATTCGCTTTTCGTCCTCTCATTCTCGTAAACAACAGTAGTGCCACGAGAAGGCAGTGAGTAGGACTTCCCTGGCAGAGGCTATATATGCGTGGCCATGTGAGAGCATTTCGAGAGGGAGAGCGAACTCCCCCCATTCTCGGCCGTACCAGGGCATTCGGGGGCCCACAAATGAATAACAAACAGACATATTGAAAAAACCTTATTAAATATTTTTCGTAATTCTAATAACTATGTATAATATTTGAACGTTATTACTGAGAAATGATTAACAAATGATAATTACTGTTTCAGGTCATTGATCAATATAAAGAAATTTTTATTTAAGTGTAGACAATATTAATTTGTAGAAACTATTTTAGACACTTAATAGAATAATCCAAAATATAAACATAAAGCACATATATATTAGCAGAATATTTCTTTTTTATCTTAGTAATCATATATATATTTGATTATTTTGGACTAATAGACATAATATTTGGTTACAACAATTAGATTTATGTTCTTAGATCTTTTTTTTCAGTTTTAATCAGAGTGAACATCAACTCTGAGATGCAAGTAAATGCAGCTGACGAGTCCCAAATGGGACATAACGCGAGTCTTGGATTTCAATGCTAGCCACTATCCACCTTTGCTTATAATGCTTGTGAATTAAGATAATATCGAGGCAATACGCACAGTATGCATATATGCCAATAAGAGACTGATCAATTGCAGTCCTAATCATCAACAGGAAGATACAAGTAAACAATACCAAGTGGATTCATATTAACAACTGTTATTATTTTTTATACAAAAACAGTATCGATTTTAAATACATCTATAAAGCTATTTTCCGGCAATTTATCATAGATTATCACTTTTTCTTCAAAATATGGTTCTCCATCAAAGAATAATCAGTTGTAGGTCACCTGTGTTTCAATGGAATTCACGCTTAATTACTAGGCTTTATTATTGCTCTGAATATCATTAACACCAGGTTTTATCTACACAACATAATAAAAATTGGAAATGTCAAATAAGAACGCTGATAATATATAGTATTAGAATGAATTTGGAAATCCTGCACAACATAAAAGCATAATTTCATTAGTTTATAGGACGCTGGATTCTAAAATGACTATATGCCCCGATTTCTACAAAACATTTAGTTAGTAATTAGACCAACCTTTACAAGATAGTTTATCAGCGGTATAATCGGAAAATTATATCTGTGAAGAATCGGAAAACCATGGGTACTGATGGCTTAGTATATAAATCAGCGTACAAATTATATACAATATACAAATCTACAATCAAACCTACCTCCTTTTACACACAAGGAACCTATCTAAATATGGCTGATGTGAAATAAATCGCCTCCTTCGACAGAATATTCGGTAATTCGAATAGACGTCTGAGTGAAAATCAGCTAGCCTTTAAGCTACAAAGCACATTGTACTCTACCATAAACGTGGCATTATAAATGTACTCAGATTCGCATCAAGATAATAGCATACTCTATATTCGTTTAGATATTTAAAATTACTGAGTTCTTTGCAGTCAGCATTTAAAGTTTCTAGTGCCTTATTCCAAATAATTGCTATTTAATTATAGAAACTTATCAAACCTCTAGTTTATTTCATATCAAAACAATCTTGGATTCGATCACATAAGCAATGACCTTTAGGCTAAGTGTATATAAAAGGCTCTTGAATTCACTATGAAGAGAGTTTAATTGAACAAAATTTCAGGTCAACATTTCCAATTCATGGGAACAATAAGGTAAGACAAGTCAATAATAAAGTTGATTTAAATTGCAGTTCAAAAAACTAATAAAGTTTCAAAACTGAGCAAAACTAATGATGTATCTATGCGAATCTGTCAATTTCTAGAGATCGATGAAAATGGCTGATACAACTGAGAAATTTAGTATCGAAGGAAATAAGAAATACTTACACAACAACAAAAAACCGATCCACAAAAGGGAACATTCCTCTATAAAGATTAATGAACAGGGTTTTTTCTAATTAAATGAAAGCTCGTATGGTTAACTTTATTCTAAAGTGGTAAAGATACAACAATTATAATAACACAAACCAATAATAATAATAATAAGCTTAGATCTGAAGATAAAAAAAGATTGAAGCGAAAAACAAAATAATAATAAACTATTAGCGGACTGTAAAATAATTTTTGTAAAGTTTTAAAAGGAAGTATATAAGTAACAGCAAGGTGTAAAGTAGTAAATCACAGGTAGAGAAAATGTCAGTGTAGTGAAATAATCATTAATCAATTGTATACACCAAAATATTTTTTGTTTTTCATGTTTCTTTCGTCTTGATGATGAGATCAAGAAAGGATGAGAAAATGTAGAGGTAAAAGAAAACTGAAAAACAAATTGTATTCTAACAACATGAATAATAATAATACCTGTTTTCTATTCAGTTATGTAGCGAAGTATTCAATAAACGCAATCAGGATCTGTTTTTACCTACACAAAGAAGGAATTTATTATGAAGAAATAATTCTGGAAATATAATGAGAGTAACAGAGAAACGAAAGGGGAGGAGAAAACTAGAGTACGATTTCTGAATGGTATTTTTTCGCCAACATAAAAATACTGTAATAATAATAAAATTAAAAAATTTGAATCCCGAAAAATGAACAAACAATAGATATTAAGGCACATGGCGATTATCAATGCTAAGGTTGGAATTGATAATTCCACATAGTAATTGTTAATTACTGATAAAAGAAAGATATGTTATTAGAAAAATGTAAACAATAAAAGACGAAAGTTATCTGTATTCTTATGAATGAATACACAATAATGAACAAACACATACACACACAATATAAACAGGAGTTAACAAAAAAGGATCATGAAATAAAACAAATACACCACATAATCTCTTTCCCTATTATGTGTTCAGTCATCCAATTGCAACTTAATTGGATACTTTAAAGTTATGTTGAGTAGATTATTGTATCGCTTTAAATTCTCCACATGATAGTAACAGATCAAAGCTTCCAATGATTCAAATGTACAAGAATTTTCAACAAATCCATATTTTCCATTTACACAATGAATTAAACAATGTTGAACAGATGTTGCTAACCTGAACAAAACAAGATAAAATGAAAGTTAAGGATATATATATATATATATAATACTGGATCCCCTCAATGTGAGAAATGTCTGTTCTAAGCAATACATATACTCCTGATTGGTGATCATCAACAGTTTGAGAATGTCTTGTGGCTTTCGTTATGATAGACAAAATAGTTTGTTGAAGTAGTGTTTTGACCAGTAAATCAACCGTCTAGAGACATTGTTTCGACCTGTAAGTATTATATTTTGAAGTTGACCTTGAATTTATGAGTTAATGTTATGTTGCGTGGTTGTCCGATTCTGATACTGACATAAAAACTTCATACAGATAGGCCTAAACCAACTATACAGGTAAGAAGACTGGAAGTGAGGACGCTTTATTAACTTGAACCAAATCAACAATATAAGTACAATCATTCACAAATATACATCTTTTTCACTTGGAAAATAAAGCCACGTTTTCAACTAATGACATTTGGTGATCATTTGGCTTATGTTTGACTATTCCGATACATCATCTTTCTAACTTTGAAAATAGGTCTCACTTCTTTGAAATGGGAACATATCAGCTTACTTCTTAAACAATTTGTTTGAAGTTTCTGAGCTGGACACCTGGTCGTGTCGTAGATTTGCGTACTCCCTTGATAGGATAAAACGATTATCTGATTCTCCAAGTAACAATCGATAGTGAATAACACTAATCCTCTCTAGGAATGTGACGGTGTGTTAATCTTCAGTATCTATATAAAAATTGACAATCATAATAGTTTGCTAGAGATTCGTATCTTTATAAAACGGGCTACTGAACAGGAATTATTCGTACTATCCAGTAAACTTTACTAGCTATATTGATTAGAATATATGCATTCTTAAACTTAAAAGGTTATTACAAGTTTAGGCAGAATTAAAATAAGTTCATAAAACTGGACTATATACCAAATTACACACATTTTTAATTGTAAGAGGAATTATTTTCTAAAAAATACTGTTGTTCTTATCTACGTTTATTACATCCTATTAGCTTTACGATTATTTGAATGTCATACTGACAGGTATGTGTTACAATATACTACATCAACACTCTATGATGGCTTTCAGAGTATCTTTTATTAAATAATTTTGCATTATGCAAGTAATTGCCAATTTCAGCCGATTTGTCATATGCAGCCGGTTTACATCAAATGGTACAACTCGGATGATAAAAAAACTCATCTTTAACCCTTTTATTGATGTCCTCTATTTCGAATATTTCATGCAATTAGTTGCCTTTATGAATTTAAATAAAGCCAGAACAAACATTGATATAGAATAATATGAATTCATTATATTTCGTGGTTTCTCGTCAGCTGCTTACAACGAAATATGTACTGGAATTTTGCATTAAGATAAGAAATAATATGGAACAATTGACATAAATGAATGTAAAGATTGGAATGACATAGATTATCAAACTATATATATATATATATATATATATGCAAGAACAAGTCAGAAGTTATCTGGTGTTAGAATTAAGGATGGGTGAATATTCATGATTTTAATTATAGTAATTTGGTTTGTGAATAACTTATATCAACCTCATTTACGCAGAAATTACTAAAGTAAACAATACTAATAAAGATTTATGATTCATGACTACTTAGAGTAGTTAAAAGAAACTGACTGTCAGCCACAAGTTCAGGTTCTTGATGTCATCACTTTTGATCTTCAAATAACAATAAAGTTAAGTTCCAATTCGCCTTAATTAAAGTTAAGTGTCCTGATTTAAAAATTATAATGTTATAAATACTACAGATTATTCTATAGATATCTTACATTTAATTCATCATTAAAGAAAAAGAGAAATTCTAATAAAAATATTTATGAAGATTAGTTTGTTTTTATCATAGATTAATATTAACTGGGGAACAATTAAAGGAAATGGAAAACAATCAACAACTAACCTCACTATGGGTTATTTTAAGAATTATTTATTCTATCACTTAAATTCATCAAAGTAGTTAAATAATAATTTATCCATCAAACTTTAAACACACACTAAGAACATTAATAGACTATTTCACATGTAAACAAATCAAACAGACTAGAGTACTGCATAACATTACTTCCATTTATTAATTACGTACCTTAGGAATAAATCAATGATTGTTAATGGATAGGAGAGATTTTATTGTTAGATTAGTAGTTTTTTTTATTCATGTTTAGTCTACATAATAAATTTATTTGTTTATTTATACACAGAATTTTGATCAAGGGATGTTCAATTAATAAATAATTTTCACAGATTGAACTCATGAGTCAGTTGAAGCTAGACCACCATTGAAAACCTGGAAGCACTGGACGGCCATTTCGTCCTAGTACGGGACTCCTCAGCAGTGCGCATCCACGACCCCGCACCACCCGGGGCTCGAACCCAGGACCTACTGGCTTCGCGCGCGAGCATTTAACCATTAGACCACTGAGCCGGCATCCAACGGTGTTAATGTCTAACTTCAACCAATCCACGAAGTTGCGCTACCGTACACCATTGACTCATGAGTTCAATATGTGAAAATTTCTAAAAATCTCAACAAAACACATTCTGATAATAATAAATAATTAACATGCAAAACATAATTGAAATAGAAATAAGTATCAACCTAAGTAAACCATATGAATTAATTTAGTTTAATTAAGAATATCGATTCAATTAAAAAGCGAATACAAAACCAAACAAGCTAAAAAAGAAATAGAAAACCTATATTATCTCCTATAAGATAAAAAGAAAGACAATTTAAGAAAACAAATCTTGTTAAGGAAAATTATCATTTGCATAAATTGTACATTTATGTTACATGTGAATCATAGAATATGCTATTCTTAAATATTTCTATAAAAAGAAAATAACTATCCTTTCAAATAATATAGTAGTACAATGTCGTTTTCAAAAAAATTGAAATTCTAGTTGTTGTTCTTTTTTAAATAACAAAAGTCAGTCAGTAACAACGTAGAAATTCGTACGTACGTACATCAGTTCGAGTTGCCATACCACATTAGCACAGAGATGCAGTTGTCGATTCGAATCCCATAGTGGTAGAGGTAGTAAGAGTATAAGCAGTAATCGGAAACATTAGGGTTTGAAGATGTTATTCAAAGAGTATAATCCAGTGAAATAAATTTGGGAAGAGAAAAAAGAGACAAGGAGGAATCAGATAATAACAAACCGATAGTAACAGTTTACTGGATATAAAACAAATATTAGATTCATAAATTCAATTATCAAAACCTATTAGAATGTTGTAGAGATATATATGTGATAAATATTAATGTTAGTAACTATATATAATTCTGCCAAAAAATTTTTTTACAAATTCTTAAACAGTAAACTGTGTGTAAAATTAAATAAAACTTACCGTATACCCAACGCCAATTTATCACTAGTAGCAGAAGGTCTGACAACAAAAGTCCCAGCAGGTCTATCCCTCAATAACTCCTCTACCTTTTCTCTAGTAGCATCTGTGAGGAACCAATATCGACGATCACGTATCTCCTCCGGTAAATAGATATCATCATAAGAACTTATAGAATTTCCCGGTACAATATTACTCTGGTTATCGATTGACTGTTTCGCTGAAGAAATGGAATCATCACATAATGAAGAACTCGAAGAAGATAAAGACTCTTCTTTAAATCCTCGATCTTTTAATGCTCGTCGAATCTCGTGGGCCTGTCTTCTAACTTTACGCTGACGAAAAATTGCATTAGCATAATTTTCACATATTATTCGAGCTGTTTTGGATTGATTATTAACCTCTTCCTTGTTAATTTTGATTTGTCTTTCAATTTCATCTATTTCTCTTTTTAGTGTTTCAATTTGAGGTGAGATCTTTAACCTAAGTGATCAAAAAACTTAGTAAATTTAAAACTAATTTGAAAACGTGCTGAAAATTATTAAAATTCAAGGTCCAATGAGATTACATGATTTTTGAAACTACAAAAATCAACAATAAGTGCCAATATTAGTAGAAAGAAAACATCAATTATCACAAAAGTCCATTTAAAAACGTTAAATTAGCTCATACATGAAGTATAGTCTCCTAGTAAAATCCGAGAGCCATACAGTAAATACTTCATTTGCAAAATGTCCATCAATTGTTTCAGACTTTGCTGTTCCTTCATTTTCATACTAATCACTCTCTGTTCCCGTTCGCTTCTAGCTGATCTTTTCAACCTTCCATTATAATTTCAAGTTATTTTGTAATGTATGTAAAGCGTTGTATTTTCGCAGTCGAATCTATTTACAATAACCAAAACTACATTGAAAAAATAACTAGTGAATGATATCCGTTTTCATTCTACAATCAATTTTTTATATAATGATCAAGGAAGGACAATCATTAATTTGATAAGTTATTATTATTTGCCTCTCCTAGCTAAGTCTGTGATTGTATAAAAAGTAGGAAATCATGTAAATAATAGTTTTTTCTTCAAGAAATCATTACTTTTGTTGATAAAAGTTAATAGTTTCTTTTTTATTACATGATGAATGCAGTTATATTATAGATAAAAACTTTCCTTCGATATTTGACATTTCGATGCAGACAAACATTGCTTTAATTTATAACAAGATCCCAATAATTTCGAATATTTCGCTTGAATCAGAATAGCAATAAGATATTAAATAATGAATATAAACGTTCGAGTTGCAAAACGTTCCTAGTACATAGTGTAAAACTATAAGGGAATAAAAAAATTATTTTAATCTTAACATTTACACTTACTTTTCACTAGGATATGAATAATCATCTAACTGACTCAATGAGGTTTGTAACCAATTACGTATCTTTTGATAACCCTTTATAAGACGAACACCTTCCTCTTTCAAATCAATTGCATTTTTTGACTGTAACTGTAAATCAGTAATAACTTTATCCAACTGATTAATTTCAGCAGCTTTACTTTTCAATTCACTGTTCAATTGTGACTCAGTTAGGAAGCAGGCAAACACTCCATCTGCATCGCTCCTATTCTCATTAGATACAGTATTATCGAATGAGATATCAGTTTTGCCATGAAAACGTTTATGACGACGCGATACAGGCCAAATTAATCGTAGATTGCTACAACTAGTCAAAGTTAATGGATGAACACGACAAAATTCAACAAGTTCAGAAACTAAACGACAACTTGGATATGGGGGATCAGTGAACCCGAAATAATCACCACGATGATAGATTCGATTCAACTTATTTAAACCACGCCATCTATTGAAGGAATATGAAGAAAACACAACTAGATGGTAAGATAGTAAAGTAGTTAAACATAGGTAAGTCATGGAGAAAAACTTTATTGATTAAATAAATATTCTAAATATTTCAAATAGTGAATTATAGTATATCATTCAAAATAAAAGTTTTGCTTTCGAACGCGAAATACGTAAGTAAATATACACAAAATACCTGACTACCAAAGTGAATGCAGCAGATGAACTCCCAGAAGCATCACGAACAAGGAAATATCCATCTTGAAGATCTGTCATCAGTTCACGTACCTCTTCTTGAGTTATATCACCCCAATACCATTCTTGATTCTTTAAATCTTTTTTATTAGCAGCAATTGAAGTAGGACTAGGTGGAGTATTAATAGTTGGTGCAACTTCATTAGTAGGATATAGTGAAACGGATTCTGAAGATGTATGTTTTTCACCCTGATATCTGGCTTTAAAACAAAAGAACATGGAACTACAAATAGATAAAATTCGATTGGTAGAATCAAGTCAACTCAAAATCCCACTCAAACAGAATTATTAACAATTATGTGAAACTTTATTAGGAACGGCATAGATAGTCAGAATTCAGCTACTAGATTATACAACCAAACACTAACCTACTCTAATGAGCGTTTAGGTAATCACCATATAACACAAATTTTGGCATGACTGCTTATAATCATCTTTTATTTCTTGATAATTACTAACAGAAAATGAAAACATTTAGACCATTTGAATATTTGAACAAATCTAAGATTTATTCCATCTTAATGCATGATTACAATATGCGATTTAATTATTAGATAACGAACGCCTTATTCTTTTAATTTCAGACTAATTTGCAATGAAACAGGAAAACCTGGATAAAAAGATAGTATAGTGAAAGTTGCACATCACTCAAACACATGAAAAATGAATATAAAAACCGAATGATATCCTCGATAAAATTTCGTTAGGAATCGTTAGATCAGTCGAGTTGTTCCAAGTCAAAACAATACAACGAAAAGTGTGGTGAGCTAAATACAAGAGTTATATCATCAATGAACAAACAGTATGCGCTTAATTCTGACAAACCAAGTAACTAATGAAACATCTGGACTGATATAAATCAAGCAACCATTGAAAATCGTAGAATACTAGAAGAAATATCTATCAAGTGCTCCTGTCTTTTTCAGCCGATAAAAACTACTGATAAAATTCATTGTTGAAGGATATCAAAAACTAAATCGAATATACTGACAGCATATGTAGCCAAGTTTTGGTCGTTAGTTTTTATTTCAACCACACTTTGTATATTAGACTACTAAATACCACTGAGAATGAAAGCAATATGATTAAGGTTGATTAAAACCAACCTTCCTAATTCTAGAAATACCAGGAATGAATATTTATTAGACCGTTGAAAGGTGTTAACGGAAAACATAAATAGAGGTAAGCAAACCTTTGTATCTAGAAAAACAAATATAAATGGTATATAATTTCTCAACAGTTGTCTGAATGTTAAATTCACTTGCGTACTTATTATGATACCGTTAGAAATCCTCTTGTTACATGTGACCTTACGTTTTGTGAATATTCCGAGATCCATTTGAATCAAATGGTAAATGTAACAACAACAAAATAACAAATAAACCGCATAATCAAGAACACGATAACTTACAAATACGTTCAAATTGCGAAAAAGATACATAATTTCTCTGAAGATTTGAATCTGATACATCAGATTGTGCTTCGGAATTTTTAGTTTGGGATGTACATTCTGATTCCTCAGTGGAAAGATCAACAAAAGATGAAAAGAGAGCCTCTAAAGCACGCATATGTGTATCCATACCCATAGCTATGTCGGTGATAAGATGCCATGGTGGTCGAACAAGGATTTGTCGAAAAACCATCAACCAAGGAGTAGCTTTATTCAATACATTTATACTGGAAAATGAATTCGACCGGTTCAGATTGACAGACGATGAATCTGACAAATAAGACCTTAACTTATTTTGATGATTCAGCACGAAGACTAAATGGTTAAAAATATGAATCAAACACAACCGATGAAGTTCAGGAAGACTTTGAAGAAATGCATGAACAGCTTTTTCCTTTTCATCTAGTAACAAAAATGAAAAATAAATTATTATATATGAAAGACACTCACAGTAGAACAAACTGAACTTATTAACATACAAAATGCAGGAAATAAAATTACAAGATTTTGTTGTTCAATGGTACGTATAACAACTTACCTATATTTCTTATATTTGCTAAACTGCAAAAATCTAAATAGTACTCTTCAGGTATCACATTCACTGGTAAATCACGAAGAAAAGCTTTCATTAATTGGGCAAAACGTACAATGTCCAACGGATGGGTAGATGACTGTTCTATACCAGGTAATGGTAAACAATGAGCAAATGTATCATGAAGTTCTTGTAGAGTATGCGTTAAAGCTGACTGTTGATAAACCATAGCCAAGTCAACAGGTTGAATACACGGATTATTACTGGCAGTAATAAAACTTTCAGAAGCTAGTTTTTCTATTTGTTCAGTACATGTAGTTAAGAATACAGGGACTTTTGAATTAGAATCTAATTTCTATAAGAAAAATTAACAAAAAAATAATTTTAGAGATAATTTAATAATTGATTATACGTAAACTTATCATATATGCAAAGAAATAACTTTGGTGTGAAAAATCAGTAATATGAATAACTGACTTACAATATATTTAATACAACTTTTAAAAGAGTAGTAATATACTGATTTCTTTGACAGATGTATATATCAACCTAATCTAAATACTTGAATATGGTTGCTGAGTTGAATACTTATATATATAGGGATCCACCTGGGATCTTGATACCTTTATGGTTGCGCCACAGGATTGAGCTATGCTGTTCAGGTCGTGTAAAACCCGCATGGTGTCTCGTTCTCAAAAAACCAATGTAAAGTTACCCTCTTGAAGATATATTTATAGCTGTGTGAATAATATACATACAACTTCTCCAGGTTTTTACCATTGTATTTTTATTAGACGGTCAGTAAATTTGAGTTTCATCAAAAAGATCTCAATACAGGAAAATTGTAGAAAACAATACCTTTAAAGTAACTGATGAATATACACTTTTGCTCTCAGAAGGATATCTAAACTGTTTGACATCCATGTACAAAAGAGAATAACAATAAGTCAATTATTTTACACAATTGTTTAATAGAATTTGAAGGTCATCTACAGCAATGGTTATATTCGGCTTACATTTCAATAAATTTTCTTAAACAACAAAAATAGTTGTCAACAGGTAACTTCCTTATAAAACAAAGTAAAACTATACAAACTATGAGTTGGATCCATCAATTTACAGTTTTATTGTAGAATTCAACAGTGTGAAAACATTATCCTATGCAGATCACAACTTATTATTACAGCAATAAAAAATTTAAACACAATAATAGAAGGCAATATTACCGAATACTCAAAAACATTTAGACATCCTGATAATATATATATCCATGATATAAGTTGTAAAACAATAACTTTACTTGTTCTTCCAATTTAACACCAAAGTATTCACTAACATACGGAACCAATGAAGTGGGAATTTCATTCGTTTCACAGTCAGCGCCCGGCTTTTCGGGATTAAATTCTTTAGTCACACAAAATACTCCAGGACAATTTGAAAAATACTCTAAAGCTTTACAGATACGATGACAAATAGCTCCACACTTTTTACACTGGAATCCCTGATGACTGAAGCCTACGAAAATGAACAGAAAACAGGTGATAATTTTAATGGAAAAGTAAAATACCAATAATACTTTTAACACAACCAAGAGATCACAGGAATATTTGTATATATACTTAGTTACTCGTATTTAGAATTCCCCAAATACAACTTCTGCTTCATGCAGGCTTAAAATCACAAACGTTGGAAGACAGAGCTGATATTAGTTTCTGTAGAAATTTGTAAGTTGTACTGTGATATATTTTCTGATGATTCTAATTCTATGATTTTATAGTTCAATGATCATTTGATTTTAATAAGACAATGAGCAAAAAGAGATAAAAGTAACACTGATGGGATACCTAACAAAGGAATATTGCACACTATACAGGAGACTATTCTGTAGAAAGAGGTGAGCTGGAAATCGTGCTGCCAAGAACCGCTACTTTGTCCTGGAAATTTTCTATCGATATCCAAATTCGCGAATATGTCCAGATTTTCTCCAGGAGTAGGTTCTTTACCTTGTAAAGTCTTTTACAGAAAAAAAAAGAAAAATACAAAATTTTTAAACAAAGTTCACGCAAGACCAATCAAGATAAATGATACCATGCAACAAAAACACTAGTAATATATGAGAAAATGCAACTAAAAACAAGTACTAACCTTTGCTAAATAAATAATGATAACTACCAGCAATTTTCAATGGCCAGTTAATGTTCAAATGGAAAATCAAAGTTAGGCACAAAAAGCAAAATCGAGATCTGACGCCAGATACTAAAACATTCCAGTTACCTGGTTTAACCTTAATATATAGAACAACGTTTTTGTAGGTAGGTAGATAGACAAATAGGTATTATCGTTAGGTGACATGAAATGTGATAAATAAAACCTCAAGTGATTAAATTCTAATTATGTTCGTATGATTTGAGCTGAAGAGACTACACATTTCCCCTGAATCATTCAATACAAGTAGCATACAGTTGGCTGTTAAGTGGAACTCATTAACAGATACACTTAGATAATATACTACATATGATTTACAATTGAACTTCGATGTATTTCACAAAAACAATACACTCAGTATCTAGATATATTGTTAGGTGATCAAAAAATACAGCATGCAAACAAAAGTGCAGTCTTAGGAAATCAATATTACTATTTATATATGTGAATTGTCACCGTAAGACACAGAGAAAGGAGTTGATAAAACTGTGACAACCATGAATATACAGGAAAGGAGAATTCGAAATTGTAAAATTATTGTATAGTTAAGTGTCTGAATAACTTATGCTGGTTAAACTCTGTTGTTGAAATTCACACCAGGATGCGTACGAAAGCGAAAGTAGATAAGATTAATGGTGATTTCTAACCCAAAAGTTTTATCCATTCTTAAAATTCCCACAATCATCTGCAACAAAATGTCACGATGAAGGTAAGATATTAATTTTTTATAGCTAATTGTCTCCTAAATACTTCTTACTGAAAAGAGAAAGCAACATCTTTGGAGATTCAGGATCCCAAAAGCATGAATGTTGTTCTCGTTCTACGATTTCCCAATCATCCCAACATCATTAAATAACTATTCTAGTGAGTTCATCTCCTTTAGATCAATAAAAAAGAGAAACCAAACAACCACACTGTAGGTTAGTTTTTTGTCAAAATTTTCACATTAGCACTATAAAATTCTAAGGAGATCAGAACACAAATGCATAGACTGTAAGATAATGAAATGTACCAATGTACCAATAAATTTAGTGCCAACCAAAAGAATCCATGATTTATCTACAACATTGAGAAAAATTCTTATTTCCGTCAATTAGTTAAACTTTTACATTAACCAAGCTTAACTTTTATGAGCAATGTGAGAGAACTATAAAAATTAACTAGTTAATCAAACTAAAATGAAGGCTGATTGTAAATCAGTTAGTTAACAAATAAAAGTCGAGTATTGTATGTATTGTAAAGTTTCGGACAAAAATTTCAAAATCATATGTAAATCATCTGCTAAATTATGTCAGCATGATGACTTGATATAGCAAACCTATTAAATAGTATACTTATGAACTTATCATGAAACTAGTCACACTGATCTACTTAAAATAAGTAGATTTATTTAAATTTAATTAGTTGATAATTGCTAAGTTGAGTGATGACTAATGTGGTATAAACACATAAATAAAGCAAGGATACAGAGTGAAACTCACCAATATTGCTCTTTCTAATGTTTCACGAGCAAATGGGTCAGCTACTCTACACAAATGAGGTGAATCATAAGTAACTTCTGAAAGGAAATTACCATCTAAATTCAATTTGATGAATAATCGAACAAATCGACCAAGGCCAACAACAGCTAACCAATGGGCTACTTGATTACAATTCCATGAAGCCAGTGGCTAAAAATACACAAAACATGCGTTTAAAAGACATCATGAGCTATTGTCTTACAAAGATATTCCACTTCATTCCCAACACTATTTCTACCACTATAGTATTACTGTTAATATTACTATAATAATCTTTTCATTGAGCCTAAGAACTTATTTCCGACTAAATAGGTTTTCACGTAATCAAATCATTGTCATTCCTAGATTTATTGACCATTTTCTAACCTACACATAAGTATTTATTTCTGTCTTATAATCAAGACATTTTAATCTTTCTAACATTTATTATTATATGATAAACTGATAGTTTACATAAAAAATGCGAGCTTACATTAAGATTATACCCTTAAAACTGTATTATTTATTTATACGATGTTAGTGTAATTATTTTATCAGACTATACACGACCGATAGAAATTCGACGAAATAAGATGAGTTTTCGACCAATTATTCAAATGTAGTTCTAATTGTGGTTATTAAAATAATTAAAATACTTAAATGTAATTGTAATTGGGTTGAACCAATGAGGAAACTTACCGAAACATAAAATACCTTAAAGTAATATTAATTAACATTTAATCACGAATATTCATTCGCTTTTTAAAGATACATAGTGATATTGGTTATCACCTAGTGACTGGTTCATCTATAGGTAAAACTATTCAATAAAACTAAAGTTGAGTAACAGAGATTAGGAAATAGAAAGTCTAAATAAGATCTCCTAACAAATAATAACAGATTAAGCTGTTGATAAACTATGCGAAACGCTTCAGTAGATTAAGGAAAAAACAACTCTACGTAACCAGATTATTTCAACGAGCGATTAAAAATTCAAACATTTTACAGTGTCTAAACCACACATTAAATTTTGTCTGTAGCTCAGTAGTTTCTGTATGACTGTATAGTAGACTATGTATTATTGATCTAGAGGTTAAGTGTTCGCGAGCGAGACCGAAGGTCCTGAGCTCGAATCCTGCGTGCGGGATCATGAATGTGCACTGCTAAACGAAACGGCGTTCTGGTGCTTGCAGGTTTTCCAGGGTTGACTGGCTTAAATCGACTCATGAATTCAAGTATTAGATTACTACAAACCCTCATTCTGATAATATTATTTGGCTCCAAACCAATATACCATGAAAATGATCTTATTCGACTTGTAGTATGAAAAATAATTGCAGTTTTAATCTCTAGCTACAAAATTTTTCTACAATGCGACTGTTGGGAAGATCTGGAAAACTCAAAAAAATTCAAGAAAGGCTCTGAAAACACTGAAAAGCATCTTATCCAATCAGCGTTCAATAGAAGTCTTGTCAGAAACGTCTAGAAGGTGAAAAGTCACATGTCGAGTTTCTGGTTGGATGATTACTCATACTGCTACCACATTTAGTAGCATTCCAGAATTTATCGGAAACCCTAGGACATCTAAAATACTATAAAAACCCTAGATTTTCTGTATATAAACGAGCCTTTGGAGTAAAGTGTTTTCTTCCACATTTCGCGCCGTTTCTCTCGTGTTCAAGTCGCTGTGTAGATCTAGCCTGGAGGTTACTAGAAAAGCTTAAGAACGAAGTCTATCGTTCAATTAGAAGACTTATCAGCAACGCTAATAAAAGCTTGATAAATCTACAGTATGAGATTTTTAAATCCGATACAAGGAAAACCCTAGAACTAACCATACAGCTCTATGGAAATCCTCCTAGTTTTATCCAAATAACAGTTATAAATCATACACCCCGAAAATTGAGCCCTAGATTGATTTACGGAAATGTCGTCATGATGAGATTCTCTGCGTTTACGAGTGTCCAACCTATAATTTACAGGCTATAATGAAGACATTCTGTGCAAAAGACATAGCAATAGCTATGCGAAACGAGTAACAACTGATACGAATTCTCTAATCGCATATGACTATTGAAAATCGATCTATGCAAAATAGTATGACACCTCAAGTAGATAAAACTGACTTGCGCAACAGTTCTACATTCTATTTTCAGAGGTATACAGTCTGATCGACCAACTTTTTAGTTTTATTTTTCGCTTCGAGTATTAACAAATCTCTGCAGGAAAAACTGTGGTACCCGCTTACAACACTTTGAAGACTGTTTTCGTGTTCCATCCCGACTGAAAATATAGATGTTCATGACATGTTATAATATTTTCAGGAAAAAGAGAACTACATCGCTTCTCTATTGATACTGTAGTGAACAGAACACGGGTGGGGACAATCGAATTGTATTTAGCACAAAATTACAAAGTTACTCAGTAAAATAGAAAAACCATATAGTAAGTCGTTAATTTGCAAAATATCAATCCATCATATCAAACCGGACTGTTCCTGTTGTAATCATCAATCCATTGCCCCCAAATGCCCTGGTACGGCCGAGAGTGGGGAGAGTCCGCTCTCCTTCTCCAAATGCTCTCACATGGCCACGCGTATATAGCCCCTGCCAGGGAAGTCCTACTCACTGCCTCCTCGTGGCACTACTGTTGTTTACGAAAATGAGAGGACGAAAAGCGAATGTCCCGCGCTTTAACCGGATTCCAAACCAATGGTGTACATGGGCTCCAGTATCCTGCGGAAACAAATGGCGTATGAACCAATTGTTGGTCACGGGCTTCCATGGGACTGCATCTCCTTACGATGCTCTACTGCCTTGTGGATCAGACCTTCAGGTCGAAGGCTCGGGGTGTGGCCCTCTAAGATAACCACCTGCTTCGGTTTGGGCACCCAGGCAGTATCACAACCCTCACACATATCGAATGGGATTTGTGTGGCGCATATGTATTTGTTGCCTCTTTGTACCAATGTCTATGTGTTAAAATAAATAAAATAAATTTCATTGTTCATGAGTTTTCTTGCAAATTGCATTGTGTTCCCGCTCTTCGTTTCTTGATCTTACCCCATCTTCTGCTGCCAGACATTATGTTTTTAACTCACGTCATATACTACGTACATCAATATAAGTAGCACGCACCACAATACTATCACCACTAGCTTTGCAATAAACACACGCAGACTAATATTTCTATTAATTTCAGAAAGGGTTTTGTGGAAATTTTAGTGATTTCAATAGTTGAGATCATAAGTCAATTGAAGCTAAACCACCACGGAAAACCTGGAAGCACTGAATGGCCGTTTCGTCCTATTGTAGGACTTCTCAGTAGTGCTCACCCACGACCCCGGGGTTCGGACCTATGACCTACTGGTCCCGCGCGCGAGCACTTAACCACTAGACCACTGATCCGTCGTCCGGTGGTGTTGATGTCTAACTTCAACCAATCCAACTTAGCTTCAAATGACTCATGACCTCAACTATTGAAAATATCTATTAATATAAAATCTTATCGAATATAAGAGCATCGAAGATGAATGAAAATAAATCACGAAATAAAAATACCTGTTCAGTGGTTGAAATAGAAGACGATAACAATGAGAAAGCATTACATGTTGATGAACAAGTCAATTTCTTTGATTTAATTGTCGAATTGTCATTTACTGGAGGCTGACACGTGAATACTTCAAATCTTTTAGAGTATTCAGCACAAACAAGATGAAATACAGACTTGCAAGCAAAGCATCTATTAGCATTACACCGTGGTGTCACTATATAATCATTACATAGATTACATATTAGCGGATAACTGATAGAAATATTAACAAATTGATGACAACGGTAGGATAAGGCTGGAAACAAAAAAGATATTTTTAAAAACGAAATAATGTTATGCATAAAGAGAAAAGAATGATCATAATAAAAAATCCACGCGTTTCTAACTTTGAGTTCTAAAAAATGATCTGATCCATAACAAAAATACTGATTTACTAGTTCTGGGTTTTGATTTTGCTTTTATTTTCCATCTTTCGCTTTTCCGTTTCTTTTCGTGTATAATATTATACTACTTATTAATATTTAGGAACTAATATCATTTTTGAATAAAAATAAAGAGAATTCAGCAAAGAAAACTACTTTTCCATGAAATTGTTTACTCAAGTTGTACGTTCGTATCTATGACTGTTTGGTAAATATATAAGTCTATAGAAGTAAATAAAAGATTCCATCAAAACGTAATTCGAGATTGAGAACAACAAATGAGGTTGCATAGTAATCAGAGGGTTAGAGAACAATAGGATGAAAATGATTTACGGGTTAAAATACTGTTCAATGTCCCTTTGTTGTTGTGAGATATTTACATGAATCTGAGACACTTAATCTATTTATTAACGTAAATGTATTCTCCTAAAATTTTAAAAGGTTTTTCATTTCTCATAATTCATTGAGCTACTTTTCATTTGCAATAATTTACATAAATTACGTGTGTAGTTATCGTTTCTATTTGGTGACTGCTATTGTTGGACTGATATAACTAATTGCCGTCACTTAATTTGCCGTATGTTTTTGTAAGCAATCATTACGCAATTATTGCAAAAGGTACCACTTATTTCATGGTATCTTGATGTGTGTAAACGCACTGAATACCTCAAAAAGCGAGATTTGTAAAATACATTACTTATGTTGTCATCAATACTAAATATCACCAACTGTAAGCAGCTGACGAAAGCCAAACAAAATAAAATGAATTCATGCCATTCTATTCAAATCTTTTTTCTTTCTCACTCCAATGATGATACCATTTTAAAGAAAAATACTTTGTTTTGAATTTAGGTTTTACGCGTGACTCAGTCATTTGATTTGAGTCATCATCGAGGGAATTTAACAGTGAGGCTCTGCTCCAATCCTATTCTTTAGCACATCATACCAAATGTCAAAAACGTTCTTAATTAGTCAGTAAGCTTTTATTTACAGTGCAAGTGTATGTTCGAATAGTAAATCATAGTGATAGGTATATATTACTGTTTGGAACTTCGATACCCTAGATCAATCAAACCTAGCAAGTAAGAGATGCTGAGGGGTTCACAACATTGGTCAAGATTTGAACTAACTTTATGTGGAAATGGATACACACTATTGAGAATGCAGCTTAATTTTCGAAGGGAGATAGTTATGCATACATTTGGTTCGGATAAGCCAGTAAGATCTTGCCATTTACTTTTGGGTTCTCCATGCAAGTCTCAGGCTGGGTCCTAGGGTAGGAAATTTTTATAGCAGTATCAGGTTCAAACGACCGCATAACATAATAAACTTCAAAAGAGATAATCACTCTAATAGTTAAAATAAGAAAGACAGATAGTTGATAAGTGTAAATAAATGGATGGTATTTTTAGCTAGTAAGTAGTCGCCGTAATAACATATCTAAGTAGCAATCGACCCGTTAAAAGGATTTTAAGTTATTACACTGAAATCGGTGAAACTTTACGATCTTATCGTTGCATACTAGGTTCCATACAACAACGATTTAACACTTAACTAAAATATCAGTCGAGTAACTTGCAAACCCTTTTCATATTTATATAAATTAATGGCACTGGTTGTGTTATATCTTGAAATGTTGATTTCTTGATATACCGCGTATAACAGAACACTAGAACACCCAAAACTCTTCCAAGTCGCAATAAGAAGGCAGAAGACTAATGCAGGAATATTATTCCAAACAATTTCAATCATAGCACCATTCAAACTGGCTGCCTTCAACGTTCGCACACTTATGCAGGTTGGACAATAGATAGGGCTGGCTATGTCTTTGTAACTTCCTAATATCGACGTTTGTTGTCTATCCGAGACCCGTATTCAAGACTCTGGTGAAGTACTACAAATTCGCCCTCCATCTGTCGCTTTGAAAAGCTTGTTTTACGTGCGTTTATCCAGGGACCCTGTGGCATCTTCGTCTGGTCTTGCTGGCGTTGGTGTCGCACCAAGCGCTAGAGCTGAGACAGCACCATTAACAGTCGATTATGTGCTGTCAGATTAGAAAGTTCCATCAAAGTGAGAAGAAATCGACGTAAGAAACGAAGTCTTTTCGTCATCTGCGCCTATGCCCCGACAGATTGCAGCCCGGATGCAATCAAGGATGAATTCTACCACCAGTTAACTGATCTTCTCCAGAAAGTGCGTTCGACAGATATTGTAGTACTTGGATGCTCAGGTCGGGCGTCTAGGCACAGAAACGAATGACTTAGGTGGCCGATGGGGACTTGTTGGTCACAGGACAGATAACGGGGACCGTCTACTGCAAATCTGCACAGACCACAACCTGTTTCTGTCCAGCACTAACTTTTGGCACAGTCATCGCCGATATGCCACCTGGCGTCCTCCCTCTGCATCTCAAACCTGGACGCAGATTGATCACATCGCGATCAGCTACCGCTGGCGTGGTTGTGTACAAGACTACTGCTCCTTTTGGAGTACCTATCTGAACTCTTATCATACCCTGGTCTGCGCCAATCTTACCTTGCTTTTCAGTGGACAACGAAGTGACCGCCACCAAAGGATTGATGTCAGAAAGTTGGTTGCAACTTCTGTTGCAAGTAAGTATCGAACCGAGCTAGCCTCTAGGCTAGCTACCATTCCACCGAAAAGTATAGATGAGCATTGGTTGCAACTTCACGACGCCATCAAAATGGCGAGTAAAGCCGCTTGCGGCTTCGCGAAACGTCCCACTTATAAGCATTGGGTTTCTTCTGGCTCCTTACAACTCATTGAAGCCCGTCGGTCTACTCCGGGTGACCGTGAGTTTGACCACAAACGAAGGATGTTACGTAAGGAAATCGGGCAAAGCTTGCGTAAGGACCGAAAAGCCTGGCGGTCGAAGCGTGCTAATGAGCTGGAAGCAGCAGCTGCATCTGGTACTTACCGGAAGCTCTTCCAACTCATCCGAGCCACTGGCAGCAAGAAGTCTGGTGTGAGTGAAACAATCTGCGAGGATGATGGGATGCCAATCACTAACATCCATCGACGTCTTGGACGATGGGCAGACTTCTTCGAAGGGCAGTTCAACTGGCCTGCTGCTCCGGCAACATCGGTCAGACTGTCCTGCCCTCCATGGCCGGTGACGACTGATCCACCAAATGAGGAGGAAGTCCGCAAGGAACTCCAACTCTTGAAGCGTTACAAATCACCTGGCCCAGATGACTTACCTCCGGCTCTTTTTAAAGATGGTGGTGACTTTCTGACTGAGGAATTGACGACGTTGTTTACAAAGGTTTGGGATCTAGAGAGTGTACCAACGTCATGGAATGAGTCGATAGTTGTCCCAATCTTTAAAAAGGGTTCACGTCGTTCCTGTAACAACTATCGGGGGATAAGTTTACTTCCGATTGCGTCCAAGCTATTGGCTTCCGTCATTCTTCGTAGGTTGTTCAAAACCCGAGAAAGATTGACTCGCGAGGAGCAGGTTGAGTTTCGTTCTGGTCAAGGATGTATTGATCATATCTTCACCCTCCACCAAATGTTAGAACGCCGTCATACTTATCACAGGCCAACAATCGTAGTATTTCTTGACATCAGGGCTGCCTTCGATTCGTTGGATAGGACTGTTCGCTGGGATTGTCTATTGAAAAAGGGTGTGCCTGAGAAGTTTATTAACATCCTATATACACCCTATATACAAACTCCTCAGGTAGGGTGAGGGTATACAACCACCTTTCTCCATTGTTCCATTCAAGCAGTGAGATTAGACAGGGTTGCCCAATCTCACCATTCCTCTTCAACTTTGCCATCGATGACATTCTGGAAACAGCTCTGATGGATGTAAGTAATGGCGGTGTGGATATGTTGCCTGGAGAAAGACTTTTCGACCTTGAGTATGCGGATGATATTGTCTGACTGTGCGATAATGCCCAAGCCATGTAATCCGCACTTAATCAGTTGGCAATCAGTGTCCGTAGGTATGGTATGTGCTTTGCACCTTCGAAGTGCAAAGTACTTCTACAAGACTGGAAGGATTCTAATCCTGTACTCACTCTGGATGGTGAGCAGATAGAAGTAGTCGAGAAGTTCGTGTATCTGGGTAGCTGCATAAGTGCTGGTGGAGGTGTGAGTGATGAGATCAATGCACGTATAGTGAAAGACAGAGCGGCTTATGCCAATCTGGGCCATATTTGGCGCCCTCGTGATCTTAGTCTGACTGTAAAAGGTCGGATCTACAACGCATCGGTGAGAGCAGTTTTGCTCTATGCTTGTGAAACCTGGTCTCTTCGAGTTGAGGATGTTAGACGACTCTCTGTGTTCGATCATCGCTGTCTCCGAAGGATTGCTGACATCCAGTGGCAACACCTTGTTAGCAATGCAGAGGTTCGTCATCGTGTGTTCGGGCACAGAGACGATAATGCAATCGGTGTCACCATCTTGAAAACCGACTTCGGTGGCTTGGACATGTTCTACGAATGTCGTCCCAGAGAATTCCACCTCGTGCATTATTTACCGACTCTGGGACTGGTAGGAAAAAGTGGAGAGGTGGTCAGTGCATGACATGGTATCGTGGTATGAAAGAAAGCTGTAAAGGACTGGCCTGTGTTGGGTCCTAGAGATGGTGCGACACAGTGGCTAGAGACGTTATCAGATATGGCTCAGAATAGAAGCCAGAGGCGATCCTGCTGTAACCTTCTTTTACTTTCTTCATAAAAAAATGGTTGTATCTTCCTTAACTGAAAGATTTCTTCTGATTGTACCTTTCCGTTCCCCTATTATTACCACTATTATTATTACATTACCTTACACCAATCTCTTCCTTATTGTTCTTTTTTTTACCCTCCTTACCTTTTTTTCTTTTCCCTTCTCTTCGAATTCTCATTGTTTTGTGTGGCGCATATATATTTGGCACACTCTTGTACCAATATGTATGTGTTCAAATAAAATAATAATAAAACTCCTCGACTTCACCGGTGGTCCGTCGTCACAGGTTGAAATACACTTATTTTAATATTCATCAAGCCCAAAATTAGTGTCTCAGTCATTGGGGAGCGTATAGTTTTCATAACGTCGATCGTTTATGTTTCCCATGTCATGTTTATCACTGAGATTTCTTGTGGGTTCCATCATTTAAAAGCATAAGTCAGTCAGTCAGTAACAACGTAGGACTTCGTACGTACGTACACCAGTTCAAGATGCCATACCACATTAGCACAGAGATGCAGTGGTCGATTCAAATCCCATAGTGGTAGAGGTAGTAAGAGTATAAGCAGTAATCGGAAACATTAGGGTTTGAAAATGTTATTCAAGGAGTGTAATCCAGTGAAATAAATTTGGAAAGAAAATAAGGGACATGAAGAATTCAGAAGATTAGAATTTGGGAGAACACAAAGAGTGGATGCACCTGCGCCATTGCAAACGATTTTGAGCCATGTCATTCAAGGTCTCTAATCATCGGTTGCTTTCATATCGCGGTCCCCAACCAGGTAGTCTACACCTACCAACATGACTCAATCCACTTGTCAGTGACTTCATGGACTTGTGCCATGTTTTGGTTTGGCCGCCCCTAGCTTTCTTCCAACCTACTGCTACACCATAAAACATAGCACGTCGAAGCAGTCGGTGGTTGGGCATACGTAGCACATGTCCCAGCCATCAGATGAGATGGCTGGGACACGTGTTTATTTAAAAGCATAAACCCTTTATCATTAGTATTTTTGCTGTCAAAATTCATTTCTTTACGAAAAAGGTTACTTCGGTTATCTTACTTCTCATTCGTGAAATATACTGAAATCATATACAGTCAAATCAACTTATCAATCTGATCAGAGTTATGATCCAATTGTTACACGACATCCGGCTGCTTGGTAAGAGTTGTTTCCAGAATATGAATAGTAAATGAAACGTAAATTACGAGCGCTATCATCAGCTATGACTTCGTAAATATCAAAACACTGCGAAACTGAAACTGATTGCCACATATATGATAGAACATACCATTATGCATCAGAAATAGCATTTACGCATCTACTGAACTTATCATTAGAAAAATTATATCTGCTCTGCAGACTACTAATGATTCTAAACTTCCCATAAAACACTGATGGGGAAATTTAGCAGTAAACTAACACTTAATATATCATATAACATTCAATAACTAATTCAGAAGTCTCTAACTACATTGGACTTTATGAGGTCAGAATAATAGTGAAATAAATACCTTTGAACCACTAAAACTAGAAAGTATGGGTAAATAAGATCTTAGTAAACAAGAGAAAAGAGAGATCACATAGTATATATTAGTAAATAGGGATGTCTTCAAAAGAAAGGAGACCATAACATGATTAAAAAACCTCAAAATCCTACTTTCCAAATACTATTTACAAGAAAATGTCTTCAAAAATGGATCCGAATCATACACAAGTTGACAGCTGCAACTAACATTTTTGTGAATTTACATTATCTTCTTACAGCATAAACGACTAGTAGCATATACATAGAAGGGCAGTTTGTTGAGCCACTTTAGCATTTCATATAGTGAACTATGAAACTCTGATTTAATAAAAAAACGTCAATGTTATATTAATAATTATAATTTATATGGTGCGTGGAACAGTTTGTTGCCGTTTCCTCTTACGAATAATCCATGTCTCAGCCAAGAAACTGTGTATTAAGGAGGGAATCATCTACATCTTATTTGATAGTTACATTTCCGATATAATACTGAAGCAAACACGTTCTTAAAAAAAAGCTAACTATTAAGGATTCATCTCTACACTGTGTCTCTCTCTGATAACAAACGAGTCAAATGAAAGGAAAACTGGTCAAATAATTCGAAGTCGGGACGAAACAAGTTAATCGAATATGAGGCTTTATACTATTAGTAAACAAAAATCCAGTATCCTTCAAAACTTTGAATTAGCAATACCTAGGTCGAAATATTGAGACAGTAATAAATTGTAATAATGTGACTCAACACAATTTATCATGTAACATGCATATAAAATTACATAATAAGGACTGATTAAAAGGCGAAATTTCAACTTAACTTACTTGGTACGGATACATTACACTTTTGAATTTCATGAGGTAAAGTATCTTGGGAAGGAATCGACAAATTTGTACATGAATGAGAATATGAATTAAGTGGTATACTGAGTAACGAGGATGAGGAAGATACATTGAGTAGACGTTTACACCTTGGAGGTATAACTGGTTGTAGTAAGCTTTGTGAATCAACATTTGTAGCTTTTATAAGCTGTGAATTTGGAAAAATGTGGGTAGAAGCGATTCGATCGGTGCTTTTGCTTCTTAGTTGAAGTGATCCGAATTCACGTATATCTATACAATATGCCGGAAAATATCCTTTATGTTTTGTTGTTTCATTAAGTCCATATAAAAAAGAGGTCGGTGCCGTAGCTTGAACAAGAAATGATGCGTACAAAAAAATTAGAAGTGGGATATATGTATATATAAAGATATAAAATTACGCAGTGGATTATAACTAAGTACTAGACATAATCAAAATGGACTGGATCTATAATAATCACCTCGATGAAGTGTATATATTTAGAAATCTCTAAAATAGTTTTCAAAACTAAGTGTTACAAAAATCGGTAGAAGGGTATCCTTTTTGAGCTAACTAAAAGGTTTTGTATTACTGAAAAATATCAAGACCGTCAATAACGGATACATAAAGCCTTTTGGACTGACATGACAGTAACCAAATATTTTCAACATTACAGGTTCTATATAACAAACTTTGGACACATCAACTATCCAAACATTAAAACAAATATCGCCATGAGAAATTCTCAAGTTATCTTTTAAAATGTCCAAGACTACTGTACTTCACCTTTTAGCACTCAGTCTAATACTACTTAAGAATAAAAACATAAGATAACAAGACTTTAAACTTTAAATATAACAAATGCAGTACGTTTCTCTGTCAATATTAATAAAAATAGTAATAATAACTGATTAAAACTGATGGACCGAAACAAAACGTAAATTCAGTTCACTAACCATTTTGTGGTCGACATTCAACCACTAGAATATCACCAGCAATAACATCGAGATATTCCTCTGCTGAGAGAGGAGTTCGACGAAATGTCGAAATGCAAGTATATCTTCCTGGATGTATATCATAGTTAAAATATGGGCGGCTTTGTGTCATAAAATATTATCTTGCTTTTTAATTACCAATACGCAAATGACAGACTAAAACAAGTCATAAAATAAAAAAATTGTAGATAGAATCGGTAACACTTGTATGATCACACAAAAAAGAATCAAAAGACATAAAGCACAGTCTCTATTATTTATTAACTAATTTGCAGAAATCGGAAGTAAACATATGGTCACAAATTTAAAAGTGCTAGATTATTATACATGTTTTTCCAGCTCTTCTTCTTGTTGTTTGGCACCTTTATACATCCATCGGTGATTAAGAGATACATATGGTGATGGAGTGTACTCTCCAATTACTGGAATATGCCAGTCAGGATACCGTTGTCTGAACTCCACATTATATTTACTCAAAGCTGACATTAATGCGAATCCGACGCATGTAGTAGCACGTACCTTCATAGAACCTATAAAAGAAACATGTGAGAACGATTATAACACAATATGGTTGTTGTTATATGCATAAAATTTGAAAACAACAGATCATTGTATCCAAACAAATGTAGATAATAGATTTAATTGTGTTCATCATTTATTGTTATTAAAAATTTAACGTGAACATTTTCGAAGAGCATATTTTTATAAACAGCATATTATCACGTACAAATATAGGATTATGCATTCCAATCGAAAAGACACTTATTCATTAAAAGAAGAATACAAGTCATGTTCGTAGTCGTACGAAAGATAATATCCATCATACCCTTGACAGATATTTTCTCATTTAGATAAAAAACTATTGTACCTGATCCAATTATTTAAAAATGTGAATACATTAAAACTTTATCCCTGCATTGTCTTTGACGAAAATTCACATGTTCAGAATATACTACAGATTTCCAGTGGATACCTTTCATTGCTTATAAACGAAGTTAACTGAACGGCATTCAAACAATACATCAACCCAAGACAATGTACATTATTCTGAAACTACAACAATGAATTCAGTACAAAAAGGTTTTAAAACACCTATCGATGCCATCTGACTGAATATCATCTAGTGCCACTATTTCGTGCTAGTGAACAATGAAATGTTAGTAGACTAATTTAATGACTTATGTGGAGACATAAACACCGATTCTAACGCCAAAACATGTACGTTAAGCATCACAGTAAATAAGTCAAAAAATTTATTCCAAGGAAATCCCGTTTATTTGTTTGATGTAATCTAATGAAATAAAGGCGATTTTCCAAGGAGTATACGATAACATCTTTCAGTAGTAGCAGTCTACAAGCGCGAACCGAAAATACCATTATGGAGAGTTAGCAACTATAACACAGTTTCATAAACTCTAAGCCTTGGAGTGAATCTAGCCATTGTGACAAACCTCGTAACATCGGAAAGCAAGATAACCAGTCTGATGAGACAATAAAGGGAACAAGTCACTCTAAAACACATCCATTGCATCGGATAGTTATTTATTGATTATGAAATGAATGCTTCCTTCACATGAATCTACAGGTACTTGCTTTCAAGGACAAGCAGTAAAAGAAAAAGGATAAAGATTGGATACATTTACTCAACTATTTCCGAGCACCCAAATGAAATTTATATCTTCATAAACTACAAACACTTGGTGGCCACATCAATCTCTTTTCAATGCCTGAAGGTTTTGCAACAGAGGCCTTTACGATGATATCGTGACGAAAACATCAGTAAATGATTAAATTGCTGAACATTGTCCAAACAGTAAGTAGTGCTACATTGATTGCTTGTACAGTGATTTACTTGAAATTGGAGAAGCAAGATTTGGATGCTTGTACTTAACACCTACTTATATTTTTCGATACAAATCATCCGGCTTTGATATTAGATTTCTAAATTTATCCAATATTATTTTTACTTGAGTAGCTTAAAGGGATTTACAGCTTGAAACACTGAAAAATCTCTCTTAAATTTAACACGTGTAAAACAAACTACATAGCGGTTACTATCTCCAGTTGGTAGCCGGATTTGTTTGTCAAGATGTACTGGGTATTAGCTTAGTTAAAAACCCTTCACTATCCCAGGAAGTCCGGATAGAAAGTTGCATAGGCAAAAAATAGTCTCCACGTGCAATTCAACACAACAATTCAATCTCGATGGTACATGTCGCTGGCTTAGACGGATTAAAACAGTAATAACATCTTTGTAAGCATCTCCAGCTATGCTGCATTCTTAAGCTTAAAAGAGATCATTAAATATCTACTACATGGAGTACTGGTGGCGCGAGATTATAAAAGTATAGACTTCACATGACAAAATTAAAAATATTTCTGATTACATGGGACTGGTCCCAAATAGTTATTATTCTAACTGCCCAGTAAAACTCTTAGGACAATGAGACAGATACAGCGTAAGTACACCTCTAACCATGACTACTTTTTAAAAATGTACATGAGGTATGGGAAAAGGCTCTTCGTGAAACAGTTGGACATGTAATGAACTAGATCAATAAGATTGGAAATATTCGACTAATATCCAGGTTACTAGCCTTATTTAAGCTTCGGTGATCTGACTGAAAAGAAAATGATCAATATGATGCCCACTTGTATGTGAAGGCTGAGGAATGTAAAGGAATCAAATGATGTTTTCATGTATACCCCTGGTTGCTAACTTTGATCGCCATGGTCTTTATTGTCCTTGGTAAGTGAATATAAATTTAGATGGAGAATTCCGTCGACACTACATATTATAATGAAAACTAAGCTTTATTGGTCTTATTCTCGCTCTTTAGTAGATGAAAAAATGCTGAACTTTAAAAAAGTGGACAGTATTTGATAAAGGGACAATATCTTTTCCAGGCCGTTTCGGCTACGCGTTCGATTCCAAAGAGCCAATTAAATTTATGCATACATATAGAAGTATCAGAACTCAGAATTCTCTTTTACTTGCATTGAAAGAGCAAAACATGTGGTAAACAATACGACGTATTATTAAACGAACAAATGTACAAAATAGTATGTTATAAACACTAACAAGACTCACATTGCCATGTGCAGACTAAACCACTAGCAGCTCCCCCAAGTGCATGATTCACCCAGCTATCTGATCGGCCTGTAGCTTTTGCTGATATAAAGGAAACAGACGAGTGACATACTGCAGCAGACGCTAAACCAATAGCATAGTAGTGAAAGAAATATTTACTTCCAGTGAGCACGTATTTAATACACTGTAGTCCCGTACTATTTAGGCTCGAACCTAGTCTATGCGCTCTGCCATATTCGAGCACACAAGCAATAAAACCTGAAGTAACAAAGTAAAGTTTAAAATGATAAGTGATTTTTGTTGAGTCATAATACATTTATATTAACTTTAAAATGAAAAGTACTGTTAATTAGGATTTAGTTTTTCATGGAACTGTCTGTGCGTCCCTTATTTCTATGATTCTGTAAATTTTACAATGGGTTGAGTGACCGATTAAGTTATACATTTTAAGTAGCAACACTTTTGTAAGAATAAATAACTTCCAGCTTAATGAGTTGTAAAGCTCATCCGAAATTTATTACTTTAGTCAGCTGATTACATTTACTTCGAATCAGCAACAAGTATAGTAAAAAATAAATATCCACAAACGAGAAATACTTTATCTATGTAAATCACCAAGCATTTCACGTAGTCAGCTTTAAACATTACTGTACCAAAAAGAAAGCCTCGAGACTAAGCGATAAACCTTCATTCTAAGTATTAGAACGCCCCCAAATGCCCTGGTATGGCCAAGAGTAGGGAGAATCGGATCTCCCTCTCGAAATGCTCTCATATGGGCACGCGTATATAGCCTCTTTCAGGGAAGTCCTACTCATTGCCTTCTCGTGGCTGGGCTGTTATTTACGAAATTGAGAGAACGAAAAGCGAATGTCCGGCGCTTTAACCGGGTTGGTGAATACGGAGGATCCACATAGAGAAGTTGGAAAACCCTGATTCCAAATTAAAGGTGCACATGGGCTCCAGTATCCTGAAGGAACAAATGGCGTATGAACTTACTGTTGGTCACCAGCTACCGTGGGACTGCATCTCTTGACATAGCTCCAGTGCCCTGTGGATCAGACCTTCGGGTCAAAGGCCCCGGGTGTGGCCTCCTAAGAACACCATCTGCTTCGGTTTGGGCACCCAGGCAGTATCACAGCCCTCACACATATCAAATGAGATTTGTGTGGCGCATATGTATTTGGTGACCAACAGTAGGTTCATACGCCATTTGTTCCTTCAGGATACTGGAGCCCATGTGCACCTTTAATTTGGAATCAGGGTTTTCCAACTTCTCTATGTGGATCCTCCGTATTCACCAACCCGGTTAAAGCGCCGGACATTCGCTTTTCGTTCTCTCAATTTCGTAAATAACAGCCCAGCCACGAGAAGGCAATGAGTAGGACTTCCCTGAAAGAGGCTATATACGCGTGCCCATATGAGAGCATTTCGAGAGGGAGATCCGATTCTCCCTACTCTTGGCCATACCAGGGCATTTGGGGGCATGGATATCTCGCATTCCTTCAGAACTGTACTTGACTAAGTTATTACTTTGAGTGATGTCCAGATTTTTATTTGTTTAGAAGCATTTAGGTTCCGTACGAGACTGCATTAACTGAATGCATAATATTGTCCATCAGTTTTTAGTAACTGATATTTTGACAACTGACTTTTGTCCCATCGTCTCCGTTGTAAAGAACGAATTTACTTGAACGATGGCCCATGGTAACAGTCATCAGCACACTATCGACGAGATAACACTACATTAATTTATGGAACATAAAGACTGATATGTAGTTACAAGCCATGGATTGAAAAAGACCGTAGACTGTAATTTAACAGCTGCTTAAGAGTATAGTGTATCATGGCCACTTCTTAGGGTCCTAAAATACCTTAGCAAAAAAGTGTTTCAAAGTTTATGTCCCACCTATGTGATGCTTTATCTGAAATACTATACTCAAGCAGCCATCCCATGTCAAAATAAAAATGCTTATCCCATTGGACGTATGAGTCGACAGTAGCCTAGTAACAGGATTTTTTGA